GGAGGGGGGGAGGAGGGAGGGGAGGCACATTTTACTGTTTCCTGGGCCCACTCCTCACCCTTCTCACCAAATACTCTCAGTGTCTGTATCTTGAAAATCTGTTAATACCACACCTGCCTGTAGAGCACAGCTGTCAAACGTGGCCTAGGAAAAAAGGAATGTCAAAATATCACGATAAGTTTTATACTGGTTACATGTTGAAATGATAATATTTTGGATATATTGTGTTAAATAAAATGTGTTATTAAATTTAATTTCACCTGTTTCTTTTTACTTCTTTTTTCTAAATTTATTTATTTTTGGCTGCGCTGGGCCTTCGTTGCTGCATGCGGGCTTTCTCTAGTTGCGGCGAGTGGGGGCTACTCTTCATTGCGGTGCACAGGCTTCTCAGTGCGGTGGCTTCTCTTGTTGTGGAGCACGGGCTGTAGGTGCGCGGGCTTCAGTAGTTGTGGCACACAGGCTCAGTAGTTGTGGCTCTTGGGCTCTAGAGCGCAGGCTCAGTAGTTGTGGCGCACGGGCTTAGTTGCTCCGCGGCATGTGGGATCTTCCCGGACCAGGGCTTGAACCCGTGTTCCCCACATTGGCAGGTGGATTCTTAATGACTGCGCCACCAGGGAAGTCCCTCTTTTTACTTCTTTAAATGCAATTGCTGGAAGATTTAAATTGTGCGTGTGGATCTCATTACACTTGTCGGACAGCCGTGATCGCAAGGCGTCTCTCGGTGCCCGGCGCACTCTGGAGGCCCAGGCCCCGTCCAGCCCGCAGCCTGCCCTGCCCTCTTCCGGGGCCTGTGGTGGGGTCGACCGTTGTACTAGGCTGTCGGCACTGCTGAAGAGATGGCCCAGGGAAGGCACCTGCCTGCCCAAGGCACCAGCTGAGCCCCAATCAGGAAGCCAGCGGATGTGACCCGGAGGTCAGGACCAGCAGGGAGGGCCTCGGCTGTGTGCAGGTGCTCTGTTTGCACCATTTAATCCTCGTGACAGACATACAGGGGGATAATATTATCTCCGTCTTATGTCTGAGGGGCTCTGAGAGGTTAGTGAGCTCAGCCTGGGTCACAAGGCTGCTGAGTGGCAGAGCCATGATTCAAATAAAATTTATGGGACTTCAAAGCCTGTACTCTTAACCCCCAGCTTGTCCCATGGGGTGGTGTCTGAGTCCTGGAGGGTGGAGTGCGGATCGGGAATTCCATCCGCAAGGAGGGGAGGGCAGAGCTTCTGAGGCCCACGTGAGGGTGTAGGCAGGGCTGATGTTCTCAGAAGGTGTCCTGGGTCCCTCTGCGGGTCTGGGCCTTGACGGCGGGAAGGCTGACCGGCTTCACCAAGGCCGCCCAGCGTTCTCAGGGCTGGACTCGGGGCCAGACTCGTGCGGTGGCCGTTCTGCTATCCAGGCGGTGACCACTTTCCACTGGGCTGGTGAAGCCCAGATACAGCCAGGCACCTGGTCCAAAACAGAGCCCTGGGGCTACGGGTCCCAAGGCCCCAGGCTCTGAGGAGGATGAGGAAGCCGGAGACCATGTTACTGCCACTCACTGTGTAATTAATGAGTTTGTGGGGGCAAAGGAGCCGTTTCTGACCTCTGCAAGTGTGGCCCGGCCGAGAGCTGCGTGTCCCCGCCCAGCAGGGCAGGCGGCCGTGGGCACCACTGGGACCATGCTGCTCTGTGGCTTTAGCATTCCTTGCTCTCAGGGCCTGGGGGTCTCCACAGGGCCTGACCCACCACTGCCCTCTGCTGTGGGAGCCAGGCTCTGCGTGGCGTGGGGTGGCCCAGACCATCACCCCCTCCCTGTGCAGCCTCGCTCGCCCGCTCCAGGCCCAGGGCGTCCCTGCTGTACTCTCAGTTCCGTCCTCAGAGCCTTCATGAGGGAACTTCCTGCCTCAGCCTGGAACACACGCCCTCAGAGTCCTGTGCAACTCCTGCACGGGATGCCCGCTCGGAGCGCGGCGGGCGGCTTCCTGGACACACCGGCTCCCGTGGTTGGCTGTGCCGTGCTCTGCCCTTGCTGTGTTTCTCTGGCCTCAGTTTCCTCACCCATAAAATGGGGTGACAACACCCACCCCACGGACCTGGGAAGGTTAAATCTGTCTTAACCTAGGAGGGTTAAATCCATTTTGCCAGGTTGAACGCCTGGCAAAACAGATGCTCTCCAAGCCTGCCTATCTTCAAGGTCCAACTCAACCCGTCTCCCCGAATAAGCCTCTCCTGTGTCCGATCATCCTGTCATCAGAGGCAGGCTGAGCCCAGGAAGGGGGCCACGCCCACCACAGAGCCCCCTCTGCTCCAGGACTGATTTCAGCTACACTCACTTATTCTTTTTTAATTTAATTAATTAATTTATTTATTATACAGCAGGTTCTTATTAGTTATCTGTTTTATACATATTAGTGTATACATGTCAATCCCAATCTCCCAATTCATCACACCACCACCACCACCACCACCTCCCGCCCCCCGCTTTCCCCCCTTGGTGTCCATACGTCTGTTCTCCACATCTGTCTCTATTTCTCCCTTGCAAACCGGTTTCATCTGTACCATTTTTCTAGATGTCACATATATGCGTTAATATACAATATTTGTTTTCCTCTTTCCGACTTACTTCACTCTGTATGACAGTCTCTAGGTCCATCCACGTCTCTACAAATGACCCAATTTCATTCCTTTTTATGGCTGAGTAATATTCCATTGTATATATGTGCCACATCTTCTTTATCCATTCATCTGTTGATGGACACTTAGGTTGCTTCCATGTCCTGGCTATTGTAAATAGAGCTGCAATGAACATTGGGGTACATGACTCTTTTTGAATTATGGTTTTCTCTGGGTATATGCCCAGTAGTGGGACTGCTGGGTCATATGGTAATTCTATTTTTAAGGAACCTCCATACTGTTCTCCATAGT